CTATTGAAGTGACATCAGACAGTATCAATGTAGACGGTTATTTAAGTGACATCAGACAGTATCAATGTAGACGGTTATTTAAGTGAAATCAGACAGTATCAATGTAGACGGTTATTTAAGTGACATCAGTCAGTATCAGTGTAGACGGTTATTTAAGTGACATCAGTCAGTATCAGTGTAGAAGGTTATTTAAGTGACATCAGTCAGTATCAGTGTAGAAGATTATTTAAGAGACATCAGACAGTATCAGCGTCAGAGATACTTATCACTAGAGGAGGGTGGAACTACATCATATTTCGTAGATTCCCTTTTTGTTTTCGTACACAGTAGAATCTGCGTTTGCCTTTGTTTTAGTTCGGAAGTATAGACTAGGAATTTAATAAGCGAAATATGATATTTTGATTATAAATAGGATGCGCTCCCAGTGTTGATGTAAGCAATGTTTATGTGTTTTTTTGCAACATACCTTCTGATATTTGCAAGATGTTATAACACAAACAAAGATACCAGCAACCTGTAATTGTTTTTGTATCAGTTTCAGGTACAGTCAAACACTTTTAACAGCAAAATACCGTTTCATAGCCTGTATACGCTTTTTTGGGGGACTTCATACCCTCATACCATGATTTTTTTTATTTTTATCGACGAGAAAGTTTATGATGAGGATCGTTTCATTATTTATTACAAACGCTTGAGATTTGTCACGAGATGATAAAAAGTAAGAGCGTTTGTAGGAATCATAAATCAAGTATGTTCCGGAACTTGCGATTATATGATATGTTATAAAGTCAATGATTGAACTTTTTTTGAAAATAACTATTGTTGTTAATCCATATTATATAATTGGCCTGCATTACCTCCTAATTACAATTCTGAAAACTGAAATTATGATTTCTACACGAAATTACGTAGTCACCAATATTAGCACATTTCCAATTGTTTATTAGGAATATCCCTCATATTTTACTTGTTACTCGATGAGACTGAGGTTCAACGACAAAATATCTTACCTCTTAATCTCATTTATTAATTCACGATTGTTTCAATTGTTTCAACATTGATAGTATTTATGCATGCGATTTCTACAAATTGTTATGCTCGGGTCGATTTGTCCTAGCCAGATATTGCATGCAGTTTTTTAATGAAATGGTTAAGGTTCGTATTAACGTAAAGTGTTCCAACGCGCTGTGCTCTATCTCAAAAGAAAAGATTTTATTCATCATTTTCTGACTTGGGGTTTCTTGGCCTTATACCACAGAAAAGCATAATTTATACAAAAGAAATTCATTTTGGCTTCGTTTTGATAGACCTCCTAATTATAAACAGACAGTGAATTTAAAACAGAAAAGAATAAGCAACGACCTCACAAAGGAAGATCGAGAACAGGAAAAACTGTTATGGGCAGAGGTCATAGAATAACACGCGGGCAAAACGCTTTAGGTGATTACACGTACAAAGTTCGAGGCCCGCCATGGGCAAGTTAGGGTAAAAAAAACTAAGAAGACTACAGTCTAGAAGAACCATGTATATTGTAGATAATTTTACCGCATATGACAAATACAAATGTTTATACACTAACGCTGACGAACTTCGAATTAAATGTCTTATCAGATAGTGAGATTAAAGGACTGTGCCCCTCACATAATTGGCATTACTGAAGTTATACCTTAAATAAAAAAATATAACATCTTTCCGTCTGAATTAACCATGGATGAGATAGGGGAGTACACATTGTTTTAATAAGGAGAACATTTAAGCCTATGGGCATATATCACTATATAAGAGCCTGGTGAGGCATATTGACTTCCTAATTATAGTCTGGTCACCGTACAAAAGGAAATACATTGTAAGTGGATAAATTAAAGAAGTTCAATTAAGGGTCCTAAAACAAACACCAGGTCCAAAGCAAGTATCTCAGTTATCCGGAACGTCTAAAAATCTTGAAACCGCCCACATTATAGTATAGTCGACATAGAGGTGTCATGATCGAAATATTTAAATAACACAATACACTTATATAAATATATTATCTTTCATCGTTACTAACATTAACAACTATAGCTAAGGATAGTGACGTGAATACGGATAGTTTACAGGGGAAGTTAGAAGCGAGTCGGGGAAATGCAGTGTAAAAATATGGTACATTCAGGAATTCGGTACATTGCGGTCAAACCAAAGTCTTCTGTTGCGTCATCGTTATTACACTTTTAGGTTGAACGTTATTTACAGACTATTTCAAGAAAAGTATATACATGTATGTAAGTAGGATCGCACATATACAAGCTGCATTATAATGCTAATATAAAATATACTCTATGATAATCATACAAGACATGCTGTAAGTTGTTTGATTTAAAATGTTCTTATTGCCTAAAATAGCTGGCGACCTTATTTTCTTTGTAAGTATATATAGTGGATAAACTAAATCTAACAGAATTTTCTTTTCGTCTGGGTTTAATATGTAAAAATAAACTTTGTCCACTTACGGTTCTTCCCCATGCGTGAAAGCGTTCTGGGAAATTAAGGCCGCGTACTGTCTTCAAAAACATGATAGTAAACCCTACGGTTTCTGTAATTATAACAGAAATATACGAAATATTTTATCTTTACAAGACGTCACTCTCTTAGAATGGTTCAATATGAACGGTTCATTCTATTCTCTGCGTACATTTTCAGTTTTGAGTTTAAATGAAGCGACCGCAGAATAAGTGGTCGTGTGTTCCACCTATGCAGCATACACTATTGTTTTTACACAACTACACGTTCAATATCATTTTTATTTGGAAATCTAACCAGACAATAGCAGTAAACGGCAAAATTGCAGTAAAAAAAAAACCATTCAGAATGGCGCTCTGTGTTATTATCAAGCGTGACGTCATAAGAACTTGGCGTCAAAAAATAGTGGACAAATAGTGGACAAATATGGACAACTAGTGGACAAATGTGGACAAATGATGACAAAATAAGGACAAAATACAATACAGAATCAGCAGTATTTGCATATTTTTACATCAAAAAAGAATATATCGTATTTGTTTTTATATTTTGAATAAGTTTAGTCTCAAAATATATTCTTTCATATTAATTGATTTATCTATCTATCTATTGATATAACCTTAGTTTCAAACATCTTAAACAAATCATGTTTAAATTACAACCATTGAGTATTATAAATAAAATGTATAGAAAACATTCCGATGATAGCATGAAGGATTCTATACAAAAAGTAACGTTCGACGACAGTGACTTCATCTAAAGCTTCCCGTACGACTCTCACTAGCTCTGACATTGACCACACACTCTTCATAACCGAATCACAAGACAAGCTTATGCAGTCTATCCACTTTCCTCCACCAAAACAATACAACAGCAAGCAGACATGTACAAGAAGGAACGACAAGACATATCAAACAACAAGGAGCGCAATAGGAAACAACATCGCCAACTATTTATTGCTTTTAAATAAGTTTTATGCATAGGATTATTAAGGAAATTGAAATTACATGATTAAAAAAAGGACAGAAAAAATAGGAAAAGAAAAGAAAAGAGAAAAAAAACCCGAAACAGCGGCGAGAGAATCCTGGAGAGAATACCAGAAATCAGAAGCAAAATGCTGAAACAGGGGAGTTGATTCCGTCATTAACACAAAATTGATGACGTCACACGCAATACACGCTAATGAAAACAGGGGGAGATAATTNGGGGGGGGGGGGGGGGGGGGGGGGGGGGGGGGGTTAACGTAGGTTAACGGGGTTGCTATTGCTAAGGCCGATTTTCTGGATAAGAAAACTATCCTTCCAATTGATCGAATAGGAATTGCACATGTAAGGAGTATCTGGTTTGAACAGGGCTCATGAGAACAAAAAGGAGACATTTTTATATTCTCTTTTATAGGACTACTTGTTGGCGACACCACACTTGGGGACACATGCGTCATGTTTTTTTAATTTTCACCAGGAAGTTTTTGAAAAGGATCGTTTCTAAATTCGACAAACACTTCAGATTTGTCAAGAGGTCATTAAAAGTTAGGGGAGGTTTAAACACTTATATATTTTATGTGAGCCGCTGTTTGCGGCTGATAGAGTAAATCATGTAATATATTGTAATGTCATAGTGTATCATTGGCAGTAAATACCTTATAATTACCACTATGAAAAAAGTAAAAGTTTTTTTCTAATAACAATGATTAGATACCTCATATGTCGAAGTTATATAGTTGTTTCTCGATAAGGTTTCGGTTAAAAATGCGGTACTACTTCGATTCACTTAGGTCTTGCTATTACATTGTTTCTCGGACTTTGTCGGTAGGGTTTACTTGTTTATTCTCGAATTCATGATTACGAGGATGCTACTTTAATATTGAGAGAAATAATCGACGGAATATACATTTGCGGAAGATTTTTATTCGCTAATGAGTTTCCTAGCGAATTAAGTTGAACATTTATATCTCGCGAAAACAAAATGATTTACAGAAAAAATAAATATGAGATAAAGTTTTAAAACGAAATATTGCAAAAGACCTTTAGACAAGAGGGGCTCACAAAACCGTTATACGCCTTATAAAGCATTTCATTGTGGCACTACTATATCGATCAATCAATAAAGCCAAATACATGCCTCGATATAAATAAAACATATCAAGATGACCCAAACATGCAAAAAAATAAAAATAGCGGGTTAACTTGAAATTATTTATTATATATATTTTAAGTTGTCTGGTTTATATGGGAACTGTTCTTTAATCGACATTGAAAACTGTTCACGATCTTCAGCTATAATATGCTTAACGACGGTTAACATTTTTAGAACATGACTCATCACCCAATCTTCTGTATTGAGGGAAAAACATAATTTCTGGAAATACCACGTAGAACACACATTTATTGCCGACACAGCCATAAATCTCAATGTGTAGACTCAAGTGTTTGGTAAATAGTCAAAAAAAATTATCTTGAATTATTCCTGGTCAAAATAAGTATAAAATAAAGCGTTTTGTTAACATATCAAGTAGAAGCTCGGAAGAGAGAGATCTTCGACAAAGGTAAGTCTCTTGTTTTATCAAGATAATTTTTAATATTGCTTAGAAACCAAGACATTCATTTTGTTCTGAAAGGGTATAACTCAAACTCAATTATTATATTAATCAAATAATTTATTCATTTCAATTATGATTATAAATGACTTATTGCAATATTTCTAATTACAGTAAACACATATAATGTACTTTACTTAATCTAGGTTAACCATGCGCCTGTTGATCGTAGTAGCCGTAGGTCTGTTGGCCGTAATAGGTCAAACAACATCAGCAGATGACGGTCATGTCACTTTGGTATGTAGCAGTGCTCAAACTATGTAGAGTGTAATCCGTATCCTATGTTGTTGTTTTTTGTTTTTTGTTTTTTTGTTTAAAAATATTTCATATCCTTAGCGTTTAGATATTTCTATATAAGGTTATTTGATTTTCTCGGTACTGATATCTTCTTTCTTTGTTGGATATCGCCAGGTTTAAGGCCGTGCAATAAATCCTACTAACAAAAATATCCGACATAGGAGGGTCCTCACACCTATTTTCACATAGTATCTCCATTATTATATAGTATCATTTTTATCATTAAAATAAGGATTCACTTGCAGTTCCATGTAAAATATGGGCTGTAAAACGATTTAGGATTCATTGAATTATTCTCAAGTAAACTGTAAGAATGTCATAGCAGAATATATTATACTGAAAGAGAACTTTCATCGTTTATATTTTGTAATATACTCATTTATAAGTTCGATGGGCATTTTTTTTTTTGGATTTTCAGTTTATCTCAGTAATAAGAATTGAAAGATTTAATTCGGCAAAAATTGGCTGCTTGAAATATTGTATCTTGAAACCCGGGAAAATTGACTTTATTAAAATATGGATATTCTCTTGCGGGATGTTACATTTCGTTTCGATGGTACCATATACGATTTCAAAAAGAAAAGAATTCAATAAATATGATTAAGCAATGAATGTTTTAACAAAATTTGTTATGGTCCTATAACACATAATGATGTCATATTAACGACAAACTGAATAAAGTCCGGCAGGGCTTTATAAATGTATGAAATATGAAGTGATAAAAGTGTGGTGAAAAACTTAACTTCATTTACTGTAATGCGTGTTCATAAGAGTTGCTTTCTTATTCATTATGTATCTGTTTACCTTTTTTATTTTTTCAAAAAACAAAAATTATTTTGAAACTGCTTATAGAATTTTGTCTCCGGAATTTTTCCTCGTGTAGTTCCTGTCTCAAAATATCAGTACAGCAGAGGGGGACGTGTTTGCTGTCAACATGGAAACGGATAAAACCGAAGGGAAGGACATTGTGCACTCAACTATGAATGGGAATGGTTCCCAGACGGTGGTTACAGACCATGCACTGGTGAGTTGCATCAGTATATTCAGCTCGCCTGTTTGAAATATAGAATGCTTGGCGGTTAGTATGTGATGTGAGGGCATACATTAGTTTTGACTTCTTCGCTAAAATACACCCACCAGGGTTAGGTTTCTGTTTAAGGCATAATCTATAAACAGTTGTCTTTCTGTCATCTGCAATCGAAATTAATTACAGGACATTTAGTGATATTTTAAAGTAATTATCCAGCGTTTAATACGACACCCCGTTTGTAGTACATGGAAAATCTATTCCAGTAAACGTTATGTAAAAGGCATCGCATGATATGGAAATGGAAAAAATATATCTTTTACATAACGTTAGCTGAAATAGTGATTTTTTAAATTGCCTTGTGTGTTTAATAAATCATGCTTAATAGAATGAATTGAGAAGAATAGAGTAGAACGCGTTTCAAGTTGGAATAATTGATGCCTATTAATTTGCGTTGTTCTTTTGCAAAAGATATTCTTAAACGTTAATAAATATACATGAAGAAATGACTTACTTGCCTGTTATTTTCATCCTATTGAGTTATTTTGTATTCTAGCAGGGCAAATGTTCGCGGTTTATATACAGCAAACTATTGTGTGTATTACATTTTGCAGAACTTCATTCAATATATTCTTTATTATATTAGCCTTATACATTTTGCTTACCGAGTTATTAAATTAACCGTACAAGTCACAAATTATTTTCCTATTTAACAAAAAAGAGCAATATGCAATAAAGCGTCCTTTTTTTGTTAATATTGTCCAGATAGAAGCATCAGTAGGTGTGGTAAGCTTCAGTTAACTAAGTGCCCTGTCTTACAAGGAATCCTAGATCCGACCCCGAATGAATGTTTTAGCAAATGACATAATAGAATAATATATTTCACTGTTTCTTTGAATTTTTCTTTCTTCTAAGAATATGCGAGTTGTGATACCAGACTCAGAATCCGAGGATTGTCACTTTTTGGAACTTGACGAAGAAGAAAAGACAGAACCGTCACTTGAAGAGGACACAGAAGGCGTAGCCAAGGTAAGACATCTTTGATTTTCATTTTCATTCTTTTTATAGTTCTTTATATGTACTACATCATTTCGCTTAAACATTTTTCCAGTATAACAGATAAGTATAAAGGGTAAGCCTAATCCCTCCATTTCGGGAAAATGTTTGGACCATAATTTTCAAATATTTTACATATTGTAATAACATTTGTAGAAAACTGGCGGTGTGGGACTTTTTTGAGCTTTGACTGATATACTGGTGAATATATGTTACCATTTTCATCGGGATAGGGGTATACTTATTTGACTAAGCTGAAGGAAAACATATCGATTATATTTTTTGAAATTATATAATAACATCCTAAATATCTTCTTTATTAAAAGTGATCGCAAACTTGTATTTTTCATTGGAACAAAAAAATTGAAATGAGTAGAGGATATCACTGTTTTTTATGCCCTGTCTTTTACTATCAAGATTCTTTGTAATGAATCTACCGACTTCATTTCTCAACATATTGCATAAACAATTACACAAAGGTCAAATCTTAGTATATATGCCTCGCAGGAGTTCATATTTCAGGGTCTCGGAGGAGTCAACGCCAATATAACTGTTGCTATTTATAGTTCAACCATAAGACCAATGGGGCGTTCATGTCTTACAGACGCTTTCTATTTTAATGAATAACAAATGGTTAAATAATTTTATATTGTTCATTAAGTATCCACAAGTTGAATTTTATTGCTATTTTCGAGAAAAAGAAAAAAATGGATTTGTTTATTAGTTTTTGTCGTCATAAAGACAATAGCCTCTGTGAAAAGCTTGTTCATCTATGGCAGAAAATATTGTTAAGACAAAGAATGCGACGTCACATTAAGAAAAAAATGTCAGGGTTATTGTGACGTAATAATGAATAACGTTCATTGTTTACTATCATTACACTACACCAAACTCTCTGATCGCTCGGATTAAAAACGTAAAGATTATTGTATATCGTCATAACTGATGTTAAAATAAGAAGGATACGGGCGGGAAATTTTATTTCAATATCTTTTAAAATCGATATCTCACACAAATCAAGCTGAAACATAAGAAATTGGAAAGCATACACACGTTACTATTTAATTGACATATCATAGCTTACTACTACCAAACGCGTTTTCCTAACTATTCATTTTTTAATAACAAACTATTTCATAAGATACATCTGAAACGTTGACAAACGATACTTTAGCAATGTTCTAAAAATGGTTTATTGATACAATTCTCAAGAAACATCAGCTGTAGACATTTATTCCATAAATATGTTGCTTTTGGCTTGAAGAATACTTATAATAAGCTATATAAAAATGCTACTGTGCAGAACAGAACGGCTTGGAACTTTCGCGGTTACTGATATTCAACTATTTCACGCTTGTTACATTTCATGGTTAGAAGAATCCGTTCCTGCAATATCGTTCTTTTTCTGGTATAAAGAGGTCGAAGTTTCATCCTCAATAGTGTATTTATTAAAATAGAAATCCCCGCCAACATTTCCGGCTATACAATATATTTATGCTGTTGCATCGCTCATCGCATCTTTACTGAATCCTCTATATATTGTGATAGACGATGGAATCTGCTGTGACGGAAAATGTCAACGCCACTGAGGAGAAGACTTGTTTGTATGATGAGGATGAACCCGTCATGTCAGAGGAGTTAAAGACTACCATTACAGCCTTGTGTGGGCCTCGAAAGATTCGTCACCTGACCCGGAAGGGCGAGTGTCAGGATATACCACAGGACGGGAGTCAACAAGGTAAACAAGTACATATGTAATTATATATAAGGGGTGTCCCAATAAGCCTTGAGTGTATAACGATATATTGCAATACCGAACGTATATATTGGATATGTATCCCGATACATAGTCATAAGAAAATAGTTTCAATTTAAAACGAAATCGTTGTCAGAATCAAAGTTAAACTGTCAAACCAATCATCGATTACGAAATTCTAACGGATTCCCACTACTAGTAATAACCTGCGTTATGGTTATTGATAAGCTTTTGAAAAAATTACAATATGCCTGTGTATTGCGATATACCGGTTTCCTGATATATTTTGACTGTCCGAATATATTCAATGCCGGTGGAATAGATATGAATGGAGAACTCATATTTTAGCAATAACGGGTCTTGCGTCGTGGTGTTCAGAAGTTCTAAATATAACAGTTAACTTCATAATATTTAGCATGGATGCTATTCAAATTGGGGCTGAAATTGTGGGTTACGAGTATCTATAACATCTTGAAATTTAAATGGTTACGCTCCTGATTTTATCTGCACATTAAGATTTATCATTGACAGAATCGAAGGCACACTGATATCAAAACCAGTCGATTACGCAATTACGCTGTAGCGCGATTCAACTTTATTTTTAATCACAGCATTGTTCTGTGATCACAGGTGTGCAAGATTCCAGACCAGTCAACTCGTTTCATCCACACAAAAAGCGCATACAGGGACTTTGCATGTCTGAAATGAATAAAAATTGCAGAATAGATAATCATGTGATATTGAAAGCAGTACTCTTGAAATTTGATATAGAGGAAATTTCGATCTGCCCATGATAACAAATAATGTCTATCAACGTTTTGAAAAAACAGACTTGTTTGTCGAAATACTTCATATTGCCAAGTGGATGTCTGAATTGTTTTTACTTATTTTTCTTTTTCCCCCTTATTTAGATGACGACGATAACGACTCGGAGGTGAATTCTGAATCAGGACTTCTCGTCCGCCGTAAAAGGTTTTGGGGAAGGTGTCCCTACAGATGCAAATGGTTCTGTCGTAGGGTGACCATATGCTGCTACAGGCGATCGTGCCGCTACTTCTTTTGTACGTGGAGGAGATACTGTTACCGTACCACACACTACTACCTAAAATGTGGGAGATTTTGCTAATTCGAAGACCAGACCAGGACAAATTTAATAACCAATTAGACATGATCATCATAATTTGCAATTATCGCACACGTTATTTACACGTAGCTATTATGACATTGAATTGTGGACATCACAATTTTGGGGCCAGCATCGAAGTACGGATAATTATTAACTGCGCTTGGCATTTACACATGTTGATCTAATTTAGGAAATTTGAAAATAATTTTCGTTTTGACTGTAGAGAGAAAAAAATATTGTCCTGCTTAAAAAGTATTCCCATATATTCGTAGCTAAATTAAGACGACTATAAAACTCTCGTTAGATTTGTTTAATTCATTTAATTCTTTGCTTCGATGATTGCTTTTTTAACATTCCTGTACTGAACTATTATGCTTTTCGTCTCTTGTTGAGTTAACAAAGTTTTTACTCTTTCTCCTACCATTCATTGGATTGTCTCCCTTTTTATCAGTTTAAGATTTATCTGTTAAGTCCTAGGGTATGCTTTCTATCCCAACCTCTATGGTATGACGGATAGCATGTGGAAAGAAATGACACATTGACGTCACGCAAACAATAAAATATGATGTCACAGTCACCTTTCGACCGGCGCAAATTAGCATGTAAAACTGTCTCAAATGCTGAAAACAACCTTTTCACAGAATATTCAAAAGCTCTTAAAACTTCGCCATCAGTTATTTTTAGATTTATTTTTATAATTAACTGTAATTAAGCTTACTTATGTGTCCTTTGCTTATTTTTTCTCTTCACATTTTTATAATATATATTACATATGCGAAATTCATTGAATGCGGTTGTGACAAATTAACTCAATAAATAAAAGAAATTAACTTGTCTTTGTGATTCATTGGTACACGGCGTTAGGAGCCGATCCTTGTTACTATTTATGAAAACTTTTCGGAGAAAATATCAGGAAGTGTAAGTAAAATTAATTAATTCATGATATTTTCTTTTAAACGTTAAGATCTTTCCGAATTTCAAATGGTTTCTGATTGAAATTCGCCACTTGGCAGAGCTGGTTACTTTATAAAACACTATCTTGTTCCCATAAAATAGCTGTCCAATCATTTTTTAAATCAATCATGAACCGAAAATAAGGATGTCAAAGAATCTTTTTTACAATATTTTCGGTATTCAAAGCGATTCTATTCATGCATTTTATCCCAGATTTGGATGTACTAACGCACATTTCTTTTAATATAAGTTTCATATTTTACAATATTAGTTACAGGATTCTATTGGGTTCCCGATGAATAACGGCGACATGAAAGTAACTGAAACCCGTATGACTTACTTTAACATAAAAAACCAATTCGAAACGATACTGGCTTACTGTCGATTTTCATCTTTTTACATTGTTTTGAAATGTCATAAAACACTTTGGTTGATGCTATGTGATACTTTGCTTAAATACTTGAGTTTGTAGCAATAACCGATTTCTGCGCTTTGTGGTTAACTTGCTCTAATATTTGTGATATAATCGAGGATAGTATGATACATATCAAAGATACAGTCAAACCTGCTCATGTGACCATTAAGAAACCACCTGTGTTGTAATGTTCTCCATTGTAAGGATTTCATTATGAAATTAAATTGTATTAGCAGACTACCTGTGTTAAGAGACCGCGCTGGATCTTCCATTGGCCGGTCTCACGTATTATATCCCCAATCCCTTTTCATTAATAATTCATTTTTATATTTAATTTCGATCCTTTTTGTTTCAACATGAAAGTTACTTATTTTTGACTTGTGACCGGATACCGTTAACAAATGACCTCACTGTTCATCTGGAACTATCTGAAATGATAATAGTCATGATGTACCACTTGGTAATGATTTTCCCATATGAATTGCTATGCTCAATCTGGGAATAAAACCCTAACAATATGTGTCAACAAGTAAATACATAAGACTAAGCTTTCTAGTGTACAATACACCTACATCATTTAGTCCTGTCTGGTAAGATTTTATTTAATCAGTTTAAACATACCTTTGATTTAATACACCAGGCAGTATTCAGACTTGTCAGAATCATTCTGATGATTCGTTGTCCTTTTATACATAATTTTATGAAAAAATAGACCCATGAGCATCCGTTGTTTACATCAAAATATGTTTTCTTAAAAATTCTACGACAGACGTCATAGGTATGAGGAGTGCAATTGTGGCAATCTGTCTCAGGATCATATTCCAGCAGGTGAAGTGCGTGAAGTTGACACATTCTACAATAAAATCATGTTTTTGGTTATATTTATATCAACATACATTATTGCTGAAGACATATTCATTAAGCCACAAACAGTAGTTTTTTTTTAATTGTTTTTGAAAATTTCGTGAAATGATAAATGACATAATCATCATTTTCCATAGAGTTTTGAAGAAAGATGATGATTAGGGGATGGGTTGTATTCCATTTTTTTAAAGTTGTGTCTGTGAAACTGACTTCAATTCCTTCCAGCACAGTTTTGCATGGAACACCTAAATGAATTGAAAAAAAAGTCAAAAGTTGTAAATTTGTAACACAACAAACGGTTTGATATGCGCTTATTCCGTTTGATGTAATTCTACATATGGTTCGGAACATTTGACATAATATATCATTATTTTGTCCTTGGTATAACAAGTTCTTTTAAATCTTTTAAATATGTGCTCACTTACTCTAAGACAGAACAGTATTGTATTCAAAACAGTTTCTCATAAACATTTGTAAATGTTATTCGTTATACGTTATAGATGCGGCTTTCCGGCTGTGGTGGCATTTAGTCCCAATCAGTACCAACATTATATTGCAGGGAATTGTACATTACCAAACAAACAGATAAAGTCCTTATTATCATGTTTAACAAACCTTAATTGAAAATGCAATCACTTGTGAGAGTGTTAGTTTATTATTGAAGAAAAGAAGAAAAATAAAGCTGATCCCGATTGAAGAAAAGTAAATTAATTATAGGTCTTCCACATAATAGTACGAGATTTTGGGTAAATAAAACAAGTTTAATTTTAAGGTTAAGGTATAGCAACGAATTGATAATTTATTTACTTAATGTGGCAAGGCAGTGGAGAAATTTTGTTGGAATAAAGAATGTCTTCTATAAAATCTGCATAACCTAGTCTTGATATTCAGGGATATGTCACCGCGAGTTTGATAAATATGTGCTTTTCGGATTGGCAAAGAGGTATGGCTACGAATCGCTTCAGGAATATTATTTGAAGAAAAGCTAGCTATTGGTAGAATTTTGAGAAATAGTGGAAACTACAAGATAAGAAAACTATCAGGACCATAAAATATTTTTTCAATTAGATATTTTTCTAAGGTCAATAGTTTTGATACACCTCATACTTTTTCCTGCCTTTTTATTCATATTGTCTAGTTGTTTTCATTCCAATTAACTAAAATGTCCCAGCGGCGTTAACATACACCGGATTGTGTTCGTTAAGGATAACGATTAGTTATTTATCATGTTTCTGTCCCATTCGTTTTATTATCCTTCTATAGGTGGTCAAATAACTTGTTTATGTCGCAAAACACAACTCCAACATCTTTCCTGGAGTTAACTAACCTTATTTTTTATCACATTCACCAATTAGTTTATTTCAGATTGTTGAGTCGTAATCTGAATTAGCCTTCTGTTCATAAATTGAAAAAATAAAACATTGAAAAAACAATTGTGAACATATCTGGCAATGTGTATTGCTAGCACCCTTCCCATAATGTTTATCTGAGAAATTTTCTTTAAAATAACTCGGAATGTGAAATATTTGTTGACATGCAGCCGCTCTTGCTGTTTCTGGAGACTTGGACAATGCAATGGGAAAAAAGTCAACAAGAGGCCCAATGGCCTCAGCGGTCACCTGAGTTATATCATAGGTACTGGTAGCTTTATTTTATTGTTTAGATGTGATGTGAAAATCAGTATGTAAACTAAGTGAAATACAATACTTGTCATGTCATCAAAGGATAAGAATTTTAAAATATTGGTAAATGTTCCCGTTAGGGCCCCGCCCTAGCCCCTGGGGAGGGGGCAGGAATTCCAATTTTACAATGTAATACCCTCATCCACCAAAGATAATTCTGACCAAGTTTGAATATTTTTCTGCTGAAAATGGATAAAATATACCCAAAAGTGTCATTTCGCTATGTAAACTATAGTAAACTTTACCCCCTCCCAAAGGGGGAACGGATGGCTCAGGGGTCCTGAAATTGACAATTTCAATAAAGCTCCTGATGATTGTACCTCCGAGTCTGGAGTAGAAGATTTTTCTTTGAAATATTAGTAAATTTTCCCTTTGATCCCCACCCTGGCCCTTGGGGTTGAGGTCGGAATCCCAATTTTACATTTTAAAACCATCTTCTTCCAAGGATAATTCTCACCAAGTAAGAATAATTTCCTACAGAAAATTGTAAAAATATACACAAAAGTGTTATTTCCTTATATAAGCTATAGTAAACTTTACCCCCTCCCACAGGGAGGGCCCAGGGGTCCTGAACCTGAATTTACAATTTAAATAAAGCCCCTGATGATTTTTCCATCCATGCAGAGAAAATGACTGTAGTACCTCTGAGTCTGGAGAAGGTATTTTGAAATATTGGTTAATTTTCCCTTTGGGGCCCCACCCTGGCAGCTAGGGTTGATTAGGAATCCCAATTTTACAATTTAAAACCATCTTCCTCCAAGGATAATTCTCACCAAGTAAGAATATTTTCCTACAGAAAAGTGTCAGCCCCTGGCCCCAGGGGTTGGGGTAGGAATCTAAATTTAACAATTGTGTAGCCTCATCTACTAAGGATGGTTCTGACAAAGTTTGAAACAAATCCATCCACTGGTTCTTGAGAAGTTGAAAATGTACAAAGTTTACGCACGACGACGGACTGAAAGTAATCGGAATAGGTCACTTGAGCAAAGCTCAGGTGACCTAAAAAGTGATAGGAGACTCTCGAAACATATCTTGATGACAAATCTCCTCTTTTTTGGTATTGATGAGTCGGATGGTGAAGACTTTAAAGTCGAAGATGACATACGAGTACCTACAGAAGACTGTGTAAACAAGGTTATACGTGTTGTACAAGAAAAACTGGAGGTACGCGAGGAGACCTATGTAGAGCGTGCTCATCGGGTCGGACATAAAGCGGAAGGTAAGGCCAGGCCTATAGTCGCAAGGTTTAAAAGGCGTGACCAAAAAGAAAAAATTAAACAATTAGCACCCAAAAAGTTGAAAGGATCTAAATTTCGCATAACAGAACAATTCCCCTGGGAAGTTCGTGAGACTAGGAGGAGGCTTTGGCCAGCATGTAAGAGTGCTCGGGACGAGGGAAAGAAGGCATACTTTGTGCGTGAAAAGTTGTACATTGATGGTATTTTGTACACCGAGCCTACAGTAATAGCGACCACTACCAAGGACACTGGTGGAGCCATCCCTAAGCCAAGTAATCATGGTAACAGAGCCAGCCAAGGAACAGCTAGTCGTGGTCAAGGCAAAGCTAGTCGTGGACGAGGAAGTGGACGAGGAAATGTCGGTCGTGGACATCATCCTGTTTCATAGGACAATGTGGAGTGTGGGGACACGCCCCAGAATCTCAAAGTTCTATCATGGAACATAAACGGTGGACTTGACAATAAGTTAAAGACAATAAGTTTTTTAAATTATATCAAGACATATGACTTGATTTTTCTATCTGAATGTTGGATACCCAATGATTATTCTTTATCAATTGAGGGGTTTTCGTGTTATATTTACCCTAGATTACTAGTTGTAGGATCTCAAGGTGGTGGGATGGTTATTCTTGTTAAAAACGTGTTTGTAAATTATGTATCTGTAATTGAATCAATAT